TCCTTCTGACCAGTCTCAACCCCAAAGTCCGTATTCAGCTAAAACTGAATGAGAATTTTGCCTGTTTAAGAAACATTATGAAAATGTCTCACTAAATTTAAAAATGAGAAGCCAGAAATGTTAGATGTAAATATTCTAGTCAAACAAAAGAAGATCAAGAAAAAAAGCAACTTTTCTATAGTTTCCTAAGATTAGTGATAGATTCTTACAAAAGGGATGCCATTGCCTATTAAATTCGCTAAAACTGAATGAGAATTTTGCCTGTTTAAGAAACATTATGAAAATGTCTCACTAAATTTAAAAATGAGAAGCCAGAAATGTTAGATGTAAATATTCTAGTCAAACAAAAGAAGATCAAGAAAAAAAGCAACTTTTCTATAGTTTCCTAAGATTAGTGATAGATTCTTACAAAAGGGATGCCATTGCCTATTAAATTCTGTCAAACAAATAACAAAATTATCAAAATGTTACTGTAATTTTTAGCACATGTAATAATTTTCCCACAGAACAAGATCTTGCTTATTTCTTTACAATTTTAAAAAATCCAGGAAATGTGGCTAAGAGGGTAAAAGGAACTATGCAAGGTTCCTATTATCGAATTCCTTTTTTTACTCTTAATTGTAATATGAAGGGTTAAAGGACTACACAGGTACTGGATGTTCAGTCTTATCAAGCTCTGGGTTACTAGAGCCCCTCATATTAACTGCATGTCTCCCGGAAGACTCTTGTGGGTACCAACCCATCTGCAATAAGCTCTGGTACCCCTTTCTCCTCTGCAGTGATGCTGCCAGTAGATGCAGCAAAAACCTCTGAGAAGGCTTTATGGGAATTACTGCTGCTCGAAGCAGCATTCACTTCTGGTTGAATATCTACTAGAATATTTGAGGTGTCTGAAGAAGAGCATGTCAGTGGAGCGCAGCTGCCTTCTGGCATGACTCCAAAACTGCACAGAGCCCCCTCACCCCTCTGCAGAACTAGAGCAGCGAGGGAGGGCTGGGGGGAGCAGTCTGCAGTCTGTGCTCACCTCTTTCTGCAGCTTTTGGGGCATTTTGCTCTGCTTCACTTTTTTTATTCTTTTTTTCCCCCCCTTATTTCCTGTAGAGAAGGGAACATCTGGGAATGCACTGATTTGCCTTTCATTTTAATTTCTTTTCCCGTGGAGAACACAGAGATCTGCGGTCACATAAGCACGCAATAGACTATGACAAGGAAAGGACCCCCTCCATTGTCAGGTCACAGGTTTTTACAGCTTCACTAAGAGCACCATCTGCTGGCATCAATATATTTATTTTTCCCTGTTCTAAATCTTTTCCAGAAGAATCAGGCTTATTATTGTCACTTCAATAACAGTTTAGCATTTGCAAATTTAATTGAATTTCAATTCAAGTGCGGAAGTTCTTTTCATGTTACATCATCTACTATTAGACAACACACTTTAGTGGCTGAAATTCATGAACAAATACTAAGTATAGCATAGTTGAGATGTAGACTTAGAGACCCAAGGCCAAATTTTGCACTCATTTATATGCCTTGCAAAAAGATTGGAGTTAATGGAGCTGAATGAGGTGTGAAGCAGTGCAAGATTTGGCCTATATGGTGTTGTCATTTAATCATCTTCAGGAGCCATTTCATTGGCAACATTTATAGATGCATAAAGGTCACAAGTCTGCTAGCAGAGCTGCACAGTAGATTCCAGTTTATATTCTCCTCTCCTACTGGTATGTTCACTGGCTGACATCCATGAATAATCTACCCATGTACAGTCAGAGAAGAAGAGCAGATGTAAGATCTACCATGCAACTTTGAAAGCAGAAGAAAGGAAGTCTATTCTAGAAAAAATACATATGACCAAAAAACTTGTGGAAACTCTTTTCCTTCAGATTCTTCCTGATGCTGGCTAAGGAGGAGAAGGAGTAATTGGATCAGTGCTATAATGTGAAACTACGCAGGACAAGACAATTAAATTTCCTTTCTGTAATTGCAGCCTCTCTGGATGTCCTATTGCTGCAGCAGAGAAACTGGCTAAAGCTCAAGAGAAGCATCAGAACTGTGATGTGTCAAAATCAAACCAGGCATCAGATCGGGTTTTAAGGTATTAGAAATCACTATAATACTTATTATTATGCAGAATTCATCACACATTCACCTAATCTGAGAATTTATATTTATATACGTTGTATATACATATATATCTCCTTTAAAGAAGAGTTAGAATTAGGGCTTCTGGATCGAATTCTCACAGTGTGTATTTCCCACTCAATTTACATGGGGGAGGGTTGGTAATTATTTTGGCAAATACATGTAAAGCTGAAAAGCTCATTTTTGTCTTAGGCATTGTTTGGTGTAAAGATGACTGCTGGAGTGCAAAGTCTAAGAACAATGTGAAAAAAGTTGGTATCTTTTGGGAATAAACTAATATTTACCGGTAAGTCTTGGTTTTTTCAGCAGGCTTTTACTAGTAAATATCAGTTTAAATTAAACCAGAAGCCCTATTTACACTACCAAACTGGTAGTACACGTTTTGGCAGGACACTTGGAAAAATGCCAGGTATAGCTTAGATTCCAAAATAAGGTCAGACTTAGTTTTTGTCTCTGTTCCCCCACTTACTGCCAGGAAGGATGGAAAGAGAGAAAAATTGTCCTAAATTTTCATGCGGGAAGGACCTGGAACCAATTTGACATAATTGTACCCCTTATCTTCATCCATACAGGATTCTGCATTTATCCAAAGCTGTATCCAGCTTTGTGCTATTGTCTCCTCTTTTGAGATATGTGGGTGGAAAAAATATTATTTCTAAGGAGCTGAAGCGTGAAGGATATATGTAAAGGAACTAGACTTCTGCATGATTGTACCAGCCTTATGCTGATGATGCCCCAAGAGCTGCAGAATTTCTCCATGGATACTGCGATATCTGTGGGCTGGGATAGGTACATCCCTCCCAGCTGCCTCGAAGAGCGTGGAAGAAGTGCCGCAGCTTTAGTTCCCAGAATTTCCTACTTATCCCATAGGTTTCTTAGCATTTAGCCATCTTCTAGATTTAAAATCTGATAGGACTGCTTAAAATGAAAGTTTTCTACTGTATTACCGACATCATTCTTTGAATATTCTCTTAAAGCTTCATCTAATCTTGATGGTCTTTTAAAAAAACAGTCTTTCCATAGAGCTAAGAACACAGAATTATGGTTCACATCTACAGATTTTTTGTCGTGCCTGTTGACTTTGTTTTCCTTCCTCTGTTTTTGATGGGCTTTATCTTAAATGCAGCTAATTCAGATTGTACAATTTTTCATACAGCATCCCAGACAGTTTTCTTCGAGAAGGTTCTTCAAAACCTATTAATAAAAAACACCCTTTGAGGGAATAACACAGTTTCTCACTTGATGGAAAAAGACAGATCAAAAATGTGGTGGCTTTTACCACTGCTCATTAGAGGGAAGCCACTGAAGTCAGATGCCATACAAAGAAGGCAACTGCTCAAAAGCAGCATCCAGTTTGCTGGCAAACTCCCTAGGAAGTTGCGCTGCAATCTTAACTTCGCTTGTGAGCCTGCCCTGTGTTTCAGGTTTTATAGACAACTCAAATAATGCTTTCATCTTGTCTCCTGCTTCCCTTTTACCTTTAAGTCATTGAAGTATTTAAGATTAAGAACTTGGGAGCTATTTATAATATTTGCATGCAGGCAACTGATGGGCAGACAGAGATGTTCTAAGAGTAAATCTTGAATATTTGTCTTCATCCCAGTTTCCATCCCACCTGCATTTAAAATTTCTTATTTAAAAAGAAATTAAATTCATAGGACTTCTGTTCCACAGAAATTTTGGATTTGCATTGAATGTACAGGATCTGAATTGCATTTTTTTAGCTAAATATAGATTATCTTGAGACAGGATCAAAATATTATTCATATCAGCTCATTGTATGAGCCCACCATATTTTGTGAGGAAGAAGTGTCTAAAGGAATGAGCATACATAAATCAAAGTGAATAGTATGACTAATATGATTTCTTGGGTGATCTTTACATAAATATCCTGACTAAATTCTACGAAAATGAATTCATTCAGAAAAACATAATATTCAAAAGCTATTTCTTACTATTTATCACATTCCATTTTGTCAGTCAGCATGATGATACTTCTGGTCTTGACTGAATTTATGTTCCTATGAATGCTCCTTCCATTTTCTCTGGTTATAAATGCAGTAAAGAAAAAAAAAAGAAAAAGAAAAAAGACTTGATTAGATGATTCTTGATTCCAGCAGAAGCACCTCAGGTGTGCTGTTCATCATCTTTACCTCCTGCTAAACGCAGTAGGTAGACATGCAGCACTGTGTAGCATTTGCTCCCTATGACCCAGTCATATAACGCTTTCTTATATAGGTAAGGTCTGCAGGATCTGACCTTCATTTACCTGCTTTGAGAGCTGATGACTTGTGTATCCACATGCAGAAGACAGCACGACAGTGGAGGAGTTCACTACAGCATTCTTTCACTGAGATTTCACAAGTTTCTCCAATGGCCGAATAGATCAGTCAGGGCTTCTCCTGACTATCCTCCCTGATTCTAAATGAAAGAGAAACTTAGCTGATACAGTTGTATTCTGTATTCATTTGCAGGACCTTCCTTGAGGTGTGTATCTGTGTATCAAGAATCGCAGCTCCTGCCAGAACCTTGCATTTAAGGGTGAGCAGGATCTGCGAGGCAGCAGCTCAAAGTCAACAGAGATTGTGAGACTCTCCTGTGTATTTCTCAAGATGAACATGAATTTGTATATTGAGGGATGAAACAGGACTAGCTCCTTTGGAAAGCGTACAGGAAAACAGCATACAACTCTGTTGAAAGAAATTCAGTGGAAACTCCATTAATTAAGTGGAGCTTCCAGTGCTATTTTTTCTTTTTGACATTTAAAGGAATTTGTCCAAACTTCTTCTGTCAGTCTGCTTGCCTCTCTTTAATTCACCTTCTAAAAGAGAAAATGTTTGCTATGTGATGCAATTACATGGGGAAAGGGAAACCCTGAAGTATTTTAAAACAGAATTTTAAAATACTTTTAGCTACAGGATACATTTAGTGGTATTAGAATTAATTTTGTCTAGGCTTTGTTCAAGAAAATATATATTGTTTGTCTGCTGAAAATAACCAAACTAAGCAAATGCAATAATATATTGCTGTCTCTTGAGTACAAGAAATAACTAAGATTTTCTAATCTGAACTATAAATTATGCACAGACACAGTAAACTGAACTGCATCTAACAAACTTTACATATCTTTAATTTCTAGGCCCATGTGCTTTGTTAAGCAATTGGAGATCCCTCAGTATGGCTACAGAAACAATGTCCCCACCACCACACCCCGCTCCAACTTGGCCAAGGAACTAGAGAAATACTCTAAGACTACGTTTGAATATAACAGTTATGACAACCATGCCTATGGCAAGAGAGCCATAGCTCCCAAGGTGCAATCCAGGGATATATCCCCCAAAGGATATGATGGTAGGAGGTGCACACTCTTATACATGAGAGACAAGTTTGCAGTTAATCATGTTGTTGTATATGTAAACATCATACAAATAAGACATGTTTTCATGTTCATATAGTATTATGAGGAATGCTGTCATGTGTAAGTTATTTTAAAGGCCTTTTTAAAAAGCGTTGTTTTATACGGTGCTTGCTTCAGGATTGTTGCACTGGCAAAAGAACATCTCCGGCTATTAAGCTCCTGGGATGTGTTGAGATTGCAATAAAAGCTAAGTAATACAGCTAGTCCTTATGTTGCTATCTGGAAGACCTGGCCTCAAGGGTCACATTAGGATTCTCGCTTCCGTACGGTAGTTCAGGTAACCCATAAAGATAACATACTTGCTCTGTGGGGATATGGAAGTAGAAAACCTGGATCTCATTGCACTTCAGAAATCACCACTACTTAATGAGGCATTTCTGCTCATTTTGTCCTCATGAATACACCTGTTGAATTCTCTGGAAAACCTAACATAAGTAACATGTTTAGGAGTAAGCTGAAAGTGGCTTCAGTTCAGAAGACAATGGATGGGGTCTGTCAGGCAAGAGGATTTTTATCGGGGGAGAAAAATGAACTGCGGGATAAAGAATGAGGATTAGGATTGACATCAGGAACTTTTCAGAGCAGTACAATTATATGTGTATATATATTATATGTGTGTGTGTGTATATATATATATAAAACCAAACTGTGCCTTTATCTTTTTTTTTTCTTTTTTTTGAATGTTAACAGTTTATTTTTTGGTTAAAATATCTGATACTACTCACTGACTACCATAGGAAATTTCAGGCAGGTGTCAGATTTTTGTTTAGGAAAACAGAAATAAATATACTAGGTAGAACAATTTATGCTGTTGCCTGAACACAGACTCTGACGCTCAAAAGTAGGTAAGTGGAGAAAGGGAAAATTGCTATAGCTCTTGCCTTCATATTTCTGATGTTTTGGATATTTTGCTTTCCCATAGAATCAACAGGCATGTTGTTGCACTATAGCAGAAAGGAGAAGGGTTGTGAAAGGCAACATATTTTTGAGTAAAAAAGTGCCCTTTTTTCTTCTCTCATACACTTGTCTTGTTTGCCTGTATCAGAATAAGGGCTTGAACATTATTAAAGGTAAAGCACTAACTGTGGTTAGTAAGCTAATGAGTGTACATTAATATAAGGTAAATGAGATATTAACTGTTGTGTATATGCTCTGTCTACTCTTGTGGAAAGGAAAGAATCAGAGTATTGCTGGGGATCCTGTGGACACACGTATTTTCAGATCAAATTACTGATGCTTAAGCAACTGATACATATTTTTCTCATTTAAGACCCCTTTTCAGCAAACAATTAGAAACTCCACTTTTTTTTCCAAATCACCAGAACTTGAAAATACATGTAACATTAAACACAAGTTTAACAGTGGCCTTAAATAATGAAAGGCTATCATCTTCCTTTGATATAAATAGGAATTTTACTTGGAGGTAAGACTGGGACTAGGTTGCTCCACTGCTCAGTAACGTGAGCCAGAGAGGACTGAGGGACACTGTATACATGCGATTCATGCTGGTACAGCAAGTATATGTGGTTCTTGTGTACTCAGAACAGCTGAAGCCCATTGTAGCTGGAGAAAGTTGTTTGCCAAACGAAGGCTAATTCCCTATGGATTTGTTCCATACCCCTGGCTCTGCAGGAGGCAGCACATGCTGTACCTCGTTCCAAGTGATGTGTGTGCTGTTTGGCCAGACAGACATGCCAACATGGTCCCAGAAATGGGACCTAATTTGAGTTTTTCTTTGTACCCTATCAGTGATTTTCATGAAACCTTTAGGATTCACATCTCTCTGATATTCCATAAGCACTCCATCATACTTGGCTTAAATTGGCAAAGGGTTTCGAAGTTCCTCACGAAAATCAGCTAAATTCATAGAACGATGAAGTGAAATCCTGGGCACACCGAAATCAGTGGCACTGACTTTCAATGGGACAAGGATTTTGCTGACAGTTATTGTAAATAACTGAATATGAAAAAGAGTTCAGGAAGAAGCTCTTCACTTCAAAGAGACACTTTTCCTCAGGAAACTGCAATATTTCTAGGTGATTTCATATTTGTGTGTAAAAAAAATTATTAATTATTGCTACTAAAGGTATTATGGAGGTACAGAGTGCACACCTGCTATGTATGTCAGCAAACACATTTACATAAAAGCAGATTTAGTTCTGAAAAGTCATCCTGAAAGACCTGAAAGTAAGCCTAAGGTTTTGGCGGAACTTGCAAGTAAACAGCACTCTAGTTTTTCTGACTATATAAGATGAGACAAATAGTCTAAGGATCTGAAAAATCAGTAAGTTCATGTCTCAATCCTTTTTAAATTGTAAGCTAGCACTGTATTTTCATCATCAGAGAAAGGGATTATATGGCCAATAAGTGTATGGTTGTGAGTGACATGAACATAAATAGCTCCTTTGGATTGTTTTCTTGATTTTTTTCCAGCAAGCTTTAGTAAAAACCAAACAGAAAATGGATACTTTGTATTGTGGGGTAGGATGCTCTGACAATTCTTGAGAAATCTTGTGTTTGTGGGCTTGTTTTTCCTTTGAAACCAGTTTCATAGTGTATTGGATGTTGGGCTTATGGTATTACAGCAGCAGAGATAAGAACATCTGGATGCAGCAGGCAGAGGAGACAGCAACCCTTTCAGTTGCTCAGGTGATGGCAGGAGCTCCTCTCATCCCACCAGTAGGACTGGGTCCTTCCATCAAAACACTGAGAAAATGTTAGGAGTGGGATTCATCTAACCATATCTAGACTTTTATAATGTCAACACCTACATCTGAGCTTGTCACCCCTTTCAGATCCAAGGAGAAAGATAGACACTTCTGTGATGCAATTCATCTCCTCCTGAAGTACGTATTTAAAACTGGTCAGGTGAATCATTGCCTGAAAGTTCCTATTTTTTTCTACTGCCTGTAGAGGAAGCCTGTAATGACTAGGTCAGATATCTGAAGTTAGGTGAGATGAATCTCTTACTGTGCAAGTCAGAAAACGTGTTGAATCTGTAATTAATTTACATAATATATTCAGTGTTTAGGCAGTACTGGAGATGAGGGTGCCTGGGCGCAATTTAATTCCACTCCAAATATCTTAGTTTGGTCCTTTATGTTGTTGGGACTTCTCCCACACCTCCATTATTAATTAGCAAGAAGAGGCTGTAGACTTAGAGAGGTTCTTTGTAAGCAGCCCCCAGGCATGTCTGACAGGAGGCCAGTATGAGTGTGCAGCTGGTTAGACCTGTGTCTCTTATTTAATGTGAAAGGTGTTCCCCACGTTTGGTTTCACTCCGGATCACAAAGCGTAGGGGGGACTGCAGAGTTTCCAAAACCTGGTGCCACAGAGTTGGGCGACATAGCAAGCAGAATTATCCGGTATTGAAACAATGCATCTTTCCCTTCGTTAGAGATCTACTTGATTTAGTTCATGATAAATTGGTGATCTTTGTTTCTCCTGAAAAGCTAATGTGAAATGAACAGTCTCGGTTATGTGACATCTTAAAAGGTACAGCTACAGTAAAGTTAAAATAACCATGACCATTTCTCTCTAAGTCAGTTTTGCTTAAATTATTGGTGATCTAAAAGCTAGTAATTGTGTAGCATGCTTATAGCACTTTACATCTTCAAAGTGTTTTGCAAGTGAATCACAACACAACTAAATTTTAGAAGCAACTTTCTATTTATAGGGAAAATGGATTCGAGGGATAATATAGTTTGACCAAGGCCACAGAGGAGTCCATATCAGAGCCTGCATGAGTTTCTGATGGTTAGTCCTATGTATAAAGCTGCCTCTTTCCCTCCCTTTCTTTAGCACACATTCTCATATATATAATTTCCCATGTAGTATCTCTCTTATGTCTGTCTAAATGTGACCTGCTGTAACAAGACTAACATTTTTTGCAAGTGACGGAAGTCTTATTTGTTCATATGAATTTTGAAAGATATTTCTAATTTGACAAGTTCAGTGGTACAGGGTGCTTGCTGTGTTAACACAGTAGAAACTGAATTATTCAATTATTTCCTTCCTTAAGTATAGGAAAATTCTGTGTGTCTTGGATAATGTTACAAAGTAACAATGGATAAATGCTGAATTTTTAAGGACCACCACTGACTCCTATATTAATAATGAAACTTTCGAGAAATAGTTCACAGGTTTATTGTTAGTGGAAACCCTGCTAGAATAGTGCTACTGTGTGTTCAAAACAAAGAAATGTCATGAATGTTTAGCATTCAGTTCACTTAAAAAAAATCACACCCTGTGCATTATCTGGCTTTCCTGAGAAAACTCCATCTGTTATGAATTAAGTGAAACACTATTTCCTTTACAGTAAAAATAATGCCATGATTTTTTTCAGTTTTTTAGAGAAAGGAGGATGACATACGCTCTAGCAGGGATATTTTGCTTTCAGATTCTTCTTTTGAATCCTGCCTGCCTACCAAAGCAGCCTGTGATTCACAAATGGGCTGTGCTCATGGGAGAAGATTATTATATGTATGTCTGCTCAGGCAAATACACCTGAAGAGTCTGGCATTTAAATGGAGCCCATCACAGAAGAGATCTAGCTAGGGCCTGACCTTTTTTGTATATCTCTCTAATCAGCATGCTAGTTGGTTATTGTTATACTGTGCTATATGGTATGATCTCTGCAGTATACATTTCCATCTTAAGGGGAAGTAGTCGCTGTAATACGCACTTATGTATCCTCTGACCTTGACTTTCATTTTTTTATGAAAATACATAAACTTTTAGATTTAGGAGACGAGCTGACACTTTCTTGCATTTTATATAAACACTTTTAAAACAGTTTATTCGGGAAGAGGGTCAGAGAAATAAGTGGGCTAATAGGGCTGTTTTGCATTATTACTATAATACTTTTGGCTGCAAGGAGCGTTTCTTAAATGCAGCAACAATGCTGCGTTGTATTTAGATAGGCTGGATGTGAGGTTTGTCAGTGCCTTAGCTCTTCTGTGACCGCTCGCAGCTTCTATCAGTCAGAGTATGGCTGAGTGCCGCTGTACTCGGCGTGAGCAGGAAGGGGTGTCTTTGGTCCTTACTGTTTTTATGAAGAGGTGTAGGTGCTCGGGTTGTTTGAAGGTGGGGACGTTTCACTTATATCTGTTTCCATTTATACAGCCGCTGCTTCTGCCTTTGTGCAAGCCATGGTAAAACTCACATGTGACCACCACCTTCCTTCTTCCATCATGTTCCTCTCCTTTCTGATGGCCAGTGTCGTAATATTCGCCTGTAATGTAGGAAGGAGAAACCTTTTAGGAAGCGTGGAGTGTTTGAGGACATATGGGTGGCACTGTGGCCCAGAGACCGAGCCTGTCAGCCTTACAGTGGGCTTGATCTCCAGCAGCTCTGGGGAGTCTAGGCCTTAAATTAACAGTTTGCTCATGTAAATATGGAAAGGTCCCATAGTGTTATGTTGCCCCTCGTTAATAAAAATGAATGAGCTGAGCAGATCCTACCTTCTGTCTGACTATATATGTGGGGTAAAAGCAGTGTTTCTGTGTTTTTATTGTTTTCTAAATCCAGCCTGTTTGTCAGAACAATTCATGATCACGTCATGCAGATTTTTACAGGAGGTTATTTCATACAAATTCACATATGTAGCATATAAAAGTCACAGACAGAAATCAAGAAATACAGCCATCATTCTTACTGCCGGCTTTTTTTTTTTTGCATCAGTTACAGTTGCTCATTATAAATTTCACCTCCAGCAGTTTGTTTTTCTCTTCACTTATGCAGAATGCTCGTTCTTTTGAGTCATCCTTGTCATATTTCTTCCCACAGCTAAACGCTACTGTAAGAATTCAAGTCCAACCAGCAGCACAACAAGCAGTTATGCCCCTAGCAGCAGCAGCAATATGAGTTGTGGTGGAGGCAGCAGTGCCAGCAGTACCTGCAGCAAGAGCAGCTTTGACTATACTCATGACATGGAGGCAGCGCACATGGCTGCTACTGCTATTCTGAATCTCTCCACTCGCTGCAGGGAGATGCCTCAGAACCTCTCCACTAAGCCTCAGGATCTCTGTGCGAGGGTAAAAATTAGTAATTCTGTTTGTTGATGAAGATTTCTTTTTACTGCACTTGCTCTGTGGCCCTGATAGATAGAAGAATAGCGTTAGTACATCTTGCTTTTTTTTTTTTCTTTTCCTCAAAATTAACATAATCTGGTGGCTCTGCTAAAGCAGGGAGGAAAAAAAAAAAAAGATAGGTGCATATTGCTCACAAGTGCCTCAGGAAATCCCGATCGGTATATAAACTGATGATGCTGATAGCATGTACTCCTTCTTTTTTTAATTTGTCTCTTACTAGTGAGATCTATAATTATAAAAGATGTTTGGGTTGCTCAAGTGGTATTAACTGCACTTCTGATTTTTTTGCTAAACACAGTCTGATTCATACATTTTGTGAGAGGATTAAGATTTAACGATGTATTTTCATTTAAAAGTCACAAATGGGACCTAAGGTTGTACGATCTAGTACAAAGAAATCTATGCTACTTGTATGTTATAATTTCTTGCCTGTCTGTGATATCACAGTTCTTAAGTCACTGCATAATACATTTGAAATGAACAAATCCTCCAGTACAGGTGACTTTAAATGTGCCTAACAGTAGTGCAGGGTCACTAACGTTCTGTATGTTCATAGAGCCTCAGTATATTATGAAATGGCTATACAGATACAAATAAAAGCTTTTGTTGTTAAGCTTTATATATTAGGAAAAAGAGTGCACTATTAACATTAATTAAAGATTTACCCAAAGATTTTTTTTTTCATTATAAACATTAAGTTTCGACTCTGATAGCTGTTAAGAAATGAGTAACATGCACCAGCAAACAGTACGCTGTTACCTATAGGAGACCACTAGATGGCTAAGTAGACAGATGCAGTGCAGAGGAAACATTTTTATTGTGCTTATAGAAGAGCTTTTGAGCTGGCAGACATGTTCTGTTCCTCTCCATATAGACAAAGGTTTTCTTCCCCTCATCGTGTAAAGTCCCTTGATCATTCATAACAAACTAAACCCGTAGCAGTAGGTATTAGTAAAAATCGTGATTTACACCAGAATGGCTGGTGACTTTGTTTTCAAATGCTGCTTTTTTACATTAATTTATTTAATGCTGTTCAAGAGGGAAATCTCTTTCTGGCATGTAAATAAATACAGTTGTACTCTATATCAACATGATGGAAAAAGTTGGAATAAAATGCTAAAAATCTTCTGTGTCAAAACCAGAAGGGGCCTCTTTCCTAATGCGTCACCCTATATTGAGACTGAAGGAATGAATCTGAGAAGATAAACAAGTATTTTCTAAATTAAATTAGCAGGAGAGCAGCAATTAGATACATGTTCTGACGAAAGACAGTAATTCAGAAAGACAGACTTGCATTCACAGTGCTTTTCTGCAGCTCTGTTGCTACTCCAGAGGAGAGAAAGTCACCAGGCATACGAGGAGTCAGTCACATTCACATTAGTTCTGAAAGCAAATTTCTTGTGGGGCATTTCATTTTTGAAAAGAGGGATTCTCTGTGGGCATTTTTATTTCCTTATGCCCTTAGTTTTTTAAAATTTGTCTTCATTTTAAGATATCTTATTTCTCCTCACCTAATATAATAAACAACCCTTGTTTGTTTCTATAAAAGAAGAAGTCAGAGCCCATACTCACCCTATTTTTCACAGTACCTCAGCCGCCGCAGAAATTGGCACAACTATTGTTGCAACTATTCCACTACCTAAATTTATTGATTATAAAGATAGATGTACGAAATCTTAATACATTTACATCTGCAGGGAAGGAACTGTGAAACTTGAATGTATTTCCTCATGGGCAAATGGTATCAAGAAGGACTTGTTTTGGTACCCTACCTCCCTGTTTAATTTTCTGATATTATCTATTCAAGCATTGGCTGTTAATGTTAAATAAACAAAGAAACAAAGATTATTTGATGCTAGTTCGTTTTTGTTACTCTAAGCACCCAGACAGGTGTCAGGACTGGAAACAAGAATTATGCAGATGTTAACTCATAGATACTCACCCCTCACAGAATAAATCAAGAGCATAAAGACAATGACAAGAAAATACCTTTAGAGATTTCTCCTTTTCATTCCAAATTTTGCACCTGTGTGCTGGGTGGCAGGAGGGGTAATGAAGACTCTCCCCTCTTCCCCCAAACATCAGATTAGCCATTCAGGAAGAAATCTACTTTAACAGCATTAATGTTGTGTAACAGCATCATGCTATGTGTGGGAGGGGGCTCAATGCTTACAATCTATACAGGAATGGAAAAGCGTCTTATCATTCTGCTAGGCAATCAGATTGAAGAACACAGAGAGGTAACAGTTTGCTAGTGTGAAGCCGAATTAACAATCTTTTTCTTATTTTGACAGAATCCTGATATGGAAGTCGATGAAAATGGGACGTTGGATCTGAGCATGAACAAGCAGAGGCAGCGAGATGGTTGCTGTACCATTTTGACACCACTGGAGCCAATGTCCCCGCAACGGCAAGCCGTGATGAATAACCGGTGTTACCAACTGAATGAGGGTGACTGCTGGGACTTGCCAGTGGACTACACTAAAATGAAGCCCAGTAGGATAGATGAAGATGATTCCAAAGAGATTAATGTATGTCTTTTTCATCTATTAGTTCTCGTTGCAATCTAATTTTGGTAATTCGTTGAATTTCTGAAATTTGGAGGGAAAGAGGAAACAAAATTAGTACGTGATAAAAATGGTGGTTTTCTACAAAAAGGACTTTCTGCTGGTTAATCTTTAGGACTGTATCATGCTGGCACACATCTGATCTGTGACTAAGTTCCATAAGACAACATTTGAACCATGAATGTGAATCATGTTTTCTAACAGCATCATCTTGTTAACAAATATTTTCTGCAGTAAAGATGTTTCACTATATCCAGATTACGTTACTCTGTATAAGCAAGTTGACATAACTGTGCAATACTGAGATAATCAGCTCTCAAGACAAAATAAATATTCTCCTGAATTTGAAAACCATAAATGATGTGCTGAGTATTTGAAAGCACATATTACGTAGAAATCAATTTAAACAAAAGCAGCAGAGTATAATGTAAGCTTTCAACTATTTCAGCTAATCTTCTTCTAGATTATTTATACACTCCTTATAGCTCTGTGTGTGAAAGGGCCTGTATTAATGAAATACTTTGTTTCAAGAATACAAAGAAGGGATATTAGAAATAAGTATTACTTTTCAATTCATAATACCAAGACAACAGCAAAACCCTTTAAACAGAAGAGACAAATTAAGAAAATATCTTAGTGAATTATTTTTACTTCTCTTCTCAAAACTTAGAACAGCCAGGACACTGAAGATGTCTGCTGGCAAGTTTTAATGTCACTGCTTTTGTTCATCAGGTTTCAACCTTATCCACTGTGTAGTTTACAATGCTGCACTCAACGCAGTTTAGCCGTTTGGAGAATTCTAGAGATTGTTGTCTGGTTTTTCTTGGTTTATAACAGAAAATTAGGCTAATCATTTGTGTGTAGCACATCTCTTGCCAATTTTAATTAAAAACATAAAACTATTTTCAGTAACTTTGAAACATATAACAGTGGCATTTTCACTAGATACACTGAATGCATTCTAGCTCTGGTGTTAATTACAGTTTTGCTATTAATTTCACTGCAGTTAGGAAGAAATCTGTCACTATCAAAGAAATGTGAGGTAAAACAGACAGTATAGCATGTTTTTTTTCAGAGTAAGCAGTGCTCCCTATTTCTACTGTGGTTTTCATAGCACCACCTGCAGGAATCGCTAAATCAATGCATTCGTCCACTTCATTGCTGAAATAGATGATTTTGAATTTCTGAATGCATCAGTAAAGTTAATTATAAATTATATAATTATATTTTACCAGACGGATCCATTGAGGTTTGCCCCAGATTGAGATTCTGCATGTAGATGTTGGGATCGCTCCCATTTCATCTTTGAGATGCTCTAAACAGTTAAAATATTATTTACAATGGCTTTTTGATGCATAAGATACTGTATTTAGTCATCCTTTTTCCCTTGTCTCTGTTTTGCGGTAACTTTAGAAAAAAATACCGATTCTTTTAAAGCAAAATAATATGACAGCTATAGGAAAAGCTGTTCTGCCCTTTTTTTTCTTTCCTAATTAAATAACCCATATATTCCACATATTCTGTTGTCTTCATTGAAATATCCAAGTCGTCTCTGTTTCGGTGACTTTAGAAAAAAATACCGATTCTTTTAAAGCAAAATAATATGACAGCTATAGGAAAAGCTGTTCTGCCCTTTTTTTTCTTTCCTAATTAAATAACCCATATATTCCACATATTCTGTTGTCTTCATTGAAATATCCAAGTCTTATTTAAAGGTTTAATAAGTGAAAGAATATAAAATAATTTCATTAATTTTCTCTGGCAGAATAGGATAAAAAAGGAGATAGCGTCTGATGACTCTGCTTTGCATCGTTTTGTGTAAGTTGTAACCTCACCTAGCTGAAACTAATGCTTATATATTTGCCTGTAGCCAGAAGATTTGGATCCTTTCCAAGAGGCGCTTGAAGAAAGAAGGTATCCTGGTGAAGTTACAATCCCAAGTCCTAAACCTAAATACCCTCAATGCAAAGAGAGCAAAAAGGATTTAATAACGTAAGCATAATGTGAGGTGAAATTATTTTTCTCCTTTTAACCTTTTCTCTCTTTGTCTTTTTTTAAACAAACGAGTACATATACGCCTTGCAGTATGAGCATGCAACATTTGCAGCATATAAATGTTTCAAACTGCCAGTTAAGTAAAGTGATAAGCTAATGTGTATTTGCTTGTTCTTAATGATGCTATATTGTATTGAGACGCCATTTTCATTTAAACCTGTTCATTTTGCAGCTTTTCGATTAGGATGCTTAAAACCCCTTGCAGTCATTGCAGCTAAACTGGAAACAATGAAACTTTTAAAAGTTTTTTTTTAAACATACTTACTATTTTGGCTGTTTTTGTTTTTGTTTGGTGGCAGATGTCCAACACCAGGGTGTGATGGGAGTGGTCATGTGACTGGTAATTACGCCTCACATAGAAGGTGTGACTTCATTTTTTTCATGGTGGATTCTGTCTTTTCAATTTATTGTTTTCAGCTTACCTCAACAATGCTGTCAAAGTAAAACGTTGAACTATGTGTTAACCCTTTGAGTAATATATGTTGATCTTAAAAGCATGCTAATTTGTGTGTTGTATAAACGTCTTTTATTTTTAAATAGATTACTAAAATTTCCAAAGTATTCTTAAGCATTTAAGTAGTTAACCCAGGAATCTCAAATATTTTTTGTTACATTTTACTAGTTCATAGAGAAACAAACAAACAAAAAAGAACATTTACAGTATGTAATTTTGGAAGTAATGTTGATACCTAAATATATTCAGAGGGTTAACTATATTACAAAATTCAATATTACAGCACTTGCCCCATCGCTTTTCTGCATTACAAACTTTTACTTTTTAATTTTTATGTTGTGTTTGTTTGGGAGTGTTCAGTTAATAAGAAGATTAACTTACTTGTATGTCCTGCCATGTCTTACAGTTTATCTGGCTGTCCCTTGGCTGACAAAAGCATTCGAAGTATGCTGGCCACAAGCTCACAAGAACTCAAGTAAGATACAAAGAATGAATATTCTCTTTATAAATATTTATTTGACTGCAAATTGTGTATAGTTGTATCAGAAATTAGAAACACTGTCTGGAGAGCTGCTGCAGAAGGGGCTGATCCTGCTTGGAACATGTGTTGGAATCTCTAGAAATTCCATACAGGTTGGCTCTATACAGAAGTCCATTGACATAGTATTTCCTTTTATGTATTCATTAGGTGATAGGGAAGGACAAAAGTCAGAACTCCTGGAATTTCATCTAAATGTTTCAATTTCTATTCAATTTTTTTCAGAATGTTTGAGTTTGCTAGTTAGAACAGAAAATTCTTATGCAATTAGACTGATGAAATACTTACGATTACACAACCAGTAAAGTGCTGTAGTTCCTCAGACATAGATCGGAGGGAAGAGAAAACAAGTTGTATCCCTAATGCTTGCATAATTTTCCCTAGGTTTGTATCACTGTTGTCAGCTTAATGCATTTTCTTATTTGACTATGTTTTTTAGTGTTTACTTAGTTATTCCCCTACTTAAAATGCATTCTTTACAATTCCTTTCAGTTCTTTGGAGTGACAATTGTGAGCAATGAAAGTTAGAGAATTGTGAGACTTAGCTTTGATCTGTCTTGCTGCAATATGCTTGACTGCAACTCTGTACGTGGAAGAACTATAGCATTTTTTAGTGCTGTGAGATAGTGGTACTCCTGAGTTGGTACTATCGTTAACATGGAAAGATGTTCACAAGTGAAAGGAAAAATTGGGTAGGGAAAGTATGAGTGGATAGCTTATGCTGCCATGCTAAGCAATATTCTGTCTTTACCATACATGAGTGCCTTAAATAGCATTTCTTGAATTCAGTACATACCTTGATGAAAAAACCATCTGTAAAGCATGGGAAAGAGAAGAAAGCAAGCATGAGAAAGCTGCTGAAGTAAGATTGCTCTCTAGCCTTAACTAATCTAGTCACTAGATGCAAACAATAGGTACAAAATTTACAATTTATTTCCCACCCAGTCAAAAATAACTTTTTTGAAACTATCAGTTTAGATCATGCTGGTATCTGCTGCTAGAAGGCTAGGTGATATGCAAGGGGAAGGGATGTAAATGAGATCAGGGAAAACATGTAAGTATAAACAGAGTAAGACATGAGCACATAACCCCAGAGAAACTCAGATTTGGACCTGGATTTTGGGTTGGGATGGGTCAAGTGGTAGATGTTGGAGGAAATGTAATTACCTAAACAAAACACAGACAAGACTCTTGGGGCAGCATGAATAATACTTTAAGCACGTACTTTGCTGCTTTAACCCTTTATAAAGTTTCCACTTGTGTTAGGAAAGTATTCCTGAATTACCCCATCTCCTCTGCCTTTCTCAAGCTTCTGCAGTCAAGTCTACATAATACAGACCAGGAAGAAAAAAAAAATCACTTGAACTTGAGACCCCACTCCTGTCTCACGCCATTCTCTCCACCTATTTCATGTTTTGCCTAAGCAAAGAGAACAAGATTAAGTCATATTTAAAGTTATATTTTTAGGTTTAGCATCTATTATTTATTTAGCATTTAGCATAAATTATTTATTTAGCAGTTATCATAATACCTACTGAACACATAAAAACTGTTACGTGAATTCAAAAGTTAGGAAATGCCAGAATTCTAAGCAGGCTAACTTAACTCATTTCTCTTTTGTATTTTCATTACAAGGCAATCTTTCATTTTCTGATCACATGTTTTTTCATAGGATAACGAAGTAATTCATTGCACAGGGCAGACAGTAATCACTGCATAAGCAACTAATGAATTTCTTCTGTTTTCCTCGTCATCCCATGTGTGGCCCTGTCTGCTATTCACTGTACTTTTCTCAGACTGTACTTTCAGGATGTAACTACTAATTCATTCACATATTTGTCACTACCATTGCATCGGGGTGTTTCCTAATTAATTTATCATGGTTATAAAGGAATTAATTTATTTTCACCTGCAATTATACACTGACGTAAGTCAGGGTTAGTATTATCCTCTTTTTAAAGCCAGAAAACGTAAGCATGTGATTTTGATTGCTCAGTTTGAGACTTCTAGGACTTAATTTGTCAGAGTTCTTCGCATTGTAGAGAACTGTATATGTACAAAGCCAAGTACCCATTGAATTCACTTGGAGCTGTGGGAAATTGGCTGTTTTAGACAATGAGTGATTGACCCTTTGTGAAAAGGGATGAACTCCACAGAAAAAGCAGGATTAGAGTCCAGTGTTCCAGAACAGCAATGGGACTATCCTTCTCCTCCCCCAAAACTCTGATCAGTCCCAGCTTCCACTTGGTCCATTCACTCTGTCCTGTTTTCCTTTATCATTTTTTCTACATTGCTCCCCTGTCTCAAGCTCCTTGTCTAATCAGCCCGTCTCCTGCCTCCATCACATTTATATTTTTATTATTCTCTACCTCTTAGCCATCCTGCTGCAGTCGGTACAGAGAGAAATAAAGCATCTTTGCATTTCTCACATATATTCGAAAGCAGGGAAGTAGGAGTCCTATGGATAGCAGCATCCTTTATACAGCTCTCATTTATGCTCTTGTTCTCTGCCTAAGATGGAAGAAGATGTGATCATGTAAATGATAATGCATATGCACAAAACAGCTAAACCAAAGCTACATAAGTGATTTTGATTTTGGAATTTTTTAAACTGTGAAGTATTTCGTTTACATCTGTTATATTTCTGTGTGTGAGGTTTGGGGGTATAATTTCCTTGCTTTTAAAAAGAGCAAGCTGAAAAGAAGCAGAAATTCCATAATGTGGGATTCTACTGGCTCTCTGTCAGGCCATCAGCCACCATGGGAACTTTTGATATCTGCTATATAGGTCACCTGAACTACTGTGGTGGCAAACAGCAGTAAAAGGTATAACGCTCTGCATGGACTGGCACCAGGAGGAGGTGGGGAACATTGCTGGTGTTTTTCATACGTATTTGCTGACAGCGGAAGAGTAGTGAGAATCAGTAACCTTGGCTCCTGCCCCAGGCTGTAGAGGGAAATGTATACACATTTTTTGCCTATATCCCAAGCTGAGATCCCTTCTGTCCTGTCCCTACCAATCTGTACTGTTCCCATCTCTTCTTCATCTTTTATTCCTTGTTCCAGATTTCAATGTAGTTGTTTCCAGTCATCCATAAAGACTTCAACCTCTGTGAACTTTCTGGAAAATACTTTTCTAACACGTGGGGTATAGAGAACAATTGATAGTGTGGTAGAATAATTGATAGTGCAGCATAGGGATTGTATTTCTGGACTGCATAGCTTGGAAAGATTTCATACTTTTATGGCTTTGCCATGCATAACTTATGTAGCAAATATCGCATATGTGCTGGTGAAGCCTTTATATCACATTTTACCAATCCATGATGTCCTTCTGTGCATTGTATAACACACACAAGTTATGTATAATGCAGCTTCCTAACTGGAATTTTGCTCACATTGATTCTTTTCAAGCCCTAACTAAAATAAAAAGTAGCAGACACGTCAGATAATATTCATGAATAATATAATTCAGATTATATTCATAATCAAAATAATCTGAGAATCTGAAAAGGTTAGAGAAAAGTTTATTTTGCCTAACAGTTATGCTCACTGTATTGCTTTTTGGTAGTTGTGGCTCCATAAACTCCATCATCCACATTTCCTGGCTCCCAGAATAATAATGTTGCAGATTTCAATTAAATTGTTCCAGGGTCAGCCTAATTATTCCTTACCACCCATACTTCTCTTCTGTAAGGCTTCTTGCTCAGGTTTACCATGCAGATTGTACGATTCTCCACTTTCACCCAAAGCCCAAGTGGAAACATGAGGGTCTTTGTGCATGGTTTATTGGCAGACCAAAGCAGTTACACAGCCTGGTCAATGATCTCCAAATAACAGAAGAATTTCTTCAGCTTTAATTCTCAGTTACTGCTGCTGGCAAAAAAAGAGGTCAACATCTTTAAGGGTCTCTGAAGAAATTAGTATCTGGCAAGAATCCAAGCTTTTCCAGCATTACGATTTGGGTTATAGTACTTGTGAAAAGCAACTAATTTTTAAAGGACCTAGGGACACTATATTGATGAGTAAACTTAACTATGATGGGAAAGCAATTAACAGCCCACCCAGTGACAGCTACCAATATTAAAATATTCATAACTTAAATCCAGTTTAATCTTACCCAGGGGCTTTTCCTTATCAGTTTTCCTTATTTACTCCTTATCATATGAGGTTTTTCTAATAGTTACAGTTACTGCAGAAATGTAATCCCATTGTAGAATTATAAAGACCATAAAAAAGCAACATTTTGAAGCACTTTTAATCTTATTCAAAATAAAACTAAAAAACCTAAAATTAATTATTGTTTTTAAAAGGACACATTTTGATCATCAGTAAATCAATCCCAGCCAAAATGCAGCATACTGATGAGAACATTTCTACTCAGTGTACTGCCAATGTGGGAACCAGAGAACCTGGGTACTAGAGACTTCCAGAAGATGACTAACTTAGTTCTACTTAGTGCTACTTTGATGTAAAAATAATAATAATTTTTCAAAGGCCATAGGTAACTAAGCATTAGCTTGGTCTACCATGGAACTGACTATCAAATTGTCAACATTTACGCTTGTTCCTCGGGTCAATTCTCTGCCAGAAAATCCCATTAGTGCTTACATTAAAGAATCTGAACCTCAGAAAGATTTGCAGTTCAACCAGGTGCCTACAAGATTGGATACTTATCTGATACTGTTGTAATAGGCCCAGTCCTTCAGTCCCAAAGCACGTCTGTCTCTATGTAGATTTTGCATATCATTGTTTTCTGTGGTGGACATCTTTTGGTATTGCCCTATGGCACTTACAGGGAGGAGTACAGTCTCATTTCCCTCTCTTACAATGAAGCCTGAGAGCTTTTCTTTTCCACATCTTTTCTTAACTCAAAGTGAGGAGCTCAGTCTATTTTTGCACATTCTCCACAATGAAGTAAGAGTTGGAATTTCTGTG